GGAAGGAATGAGAAATCAGTAAATTCTACTATGTTAGGATAAACATATTCAGCTCATCACTGAGAAAGGAAACTGTTTCAACAATTCCAAAGTATACTTCCTGGCTATACCAGATTAATCCAGGAGCTGCCAAGACTGTATTTTCTGTAGTATGTTAAGATCTGAAGCAGACTTTTACAGTGGGGCTCCACAGACACATTTGGGGAGCACAACCAGAAGGGGAGCCCTACAAGCACTTAGGCATCTCAATATCCACTTCCAGCTTATGACTCTGGAAGACAATGGTGGCAATAACAGGCCTTGCAAGATGAAACCATTCATTCCAGCCATCCATTCTTTCTTTTATTGTATCATACTGCACTGTGCTAGGGCCAGAGATTACAGAAGTTAAGAAAACAAACAAATACAGTCTCTGTCCTTAGGAGCTCACCGTCTAGTGATGGACAGACAAGTAAACGATGATACCACAGTGTGACAAGTGCTCTAAGAAATGTATGAAGTCCTGTGGAAATGCAGGTGTGACTCATTCTGCTTCAATAAATCCAGAATACTTTCATGGAAGATGATATCTGAGCTAGATTTTGAAGCATAAACAGGATTTTGCCAGGTGAAAAGAGGAATAGAAAGACATTCTAGGTAAAAGTATGTTCATGGGCACAGAGGTATGAGATTTGAGATTCTGTGGCCAAATCTAATTTGGCCATAACTTAAGATAAATGGGAGAGTGAAAGTAAAGAAAGCTAGAAAGGTAGGGTGGGGTCAAGGTGTCATGTGAAGAAGTTTGGACATTATCTTATCCCTATCAATGATGGAAGTCACATAAGATTTAAAATCTGGTGATTTTTTTGAATGAAATATTTCAAACATAGAAAAAGGTACAGAAAAAAATATACTGAATGTTTGTGTACCCAATATCCAAACTTAAAAAGCATTAAAATTACCTTTTAAACCCTCCATTTACCTCTTCTTGATTGCATATCTGTCTCTCTTCCCAGAAGTAAACACTCTCTAGATTTTGGTATTTACATGCCTATACACAGCTTTATTCTTTTACTAAATATATATGTATGTCTAAATAAAACATAGTTGTTCTGTTTTTAAACTTTTTGTGTATATTATATTCTGCAACTTATTTTATTCAATATTGTATTTGTGAGATTACTGATTTGTGTGACTCTAATCCAATTTCAGTGTTTTATAATATTTCATTGTGTCAATATACCACAATCTATTCTGTTGATGGAAATGTAGAAAGTTTCCAATTTCTTGGTATTAAAAACAATACCGAACAAGTGTTCTTATTTATATACCCTTGTGATCATTTGGGAAAGTGTCTCAAGGAAATATACCTAGAAATGAAATTACTGTGTCACAAGATTTAGACAACTTGGACTTCACTATATATTGTCAAACAGCCCGCAAAATGATGGTACCAACATACACTCCCACCAGCAGTGTAAAGACCAGTGCTTCTGAAATTCAACTCTAGTGATTGAATAAACTGAATAGTAGCTGCTATAGGGGAAAGAAAAAAGGCAGAGAGAACAGCTGGGAGGCTCCTGTAATGTGGGAGATTATGAGGCCTTGAACTAAAATAGTGGTTGTAGAAATAGAGAAGAATTTACTTGAGAGATATTTAGGAGTTAAAGCTGAAAGAACCCATTGACTGGGTGAAAGAGAGAAAAGACTCTAAAGCAACCCTGAGATTTCTACTTTAGTCAACTCAACAGATGATGATAACATTAATTAAGATAGTAAACATAGGAAGAGATGGTTCTTAAATTGTGAGGGAGGGCAATAGGCATATTCCTTGGAATGTCAAGTTTGAGGTACTTGTAGGACCTCTAGGGAGGGTATGAAGTTTAAGAGGCAAGACCATGATGGTAGAAAAGACTATGAAGCTTGTTCATCTAGGAAGCTACAAAGAATCAAATATGTAGGCTCAAAACAGTTAAGAAAAAATGTATATATTAATTAACATTAGTTCCTCTATTCCAGGGAAAAAAGTCAGTTATATGCTTCATGATACAAGGTAGGTACTCTCCCCTTAAACTAACCCTATATCTGACTTTCCACCTATCTAGACTAAAACCTTCGG